GTGGTGGTGGTGGTCATGGTCAAAGCACACATCCTAAATGACCTAAATTGTCTTGATGGGGGCGTAAAAAATCCCTGCCTAAAACATGGTCCGTCTGTTTCAGCTGACGTCACCATGGAGGCGGTGCCCGACCAGATCGAGTCGAAACTGACGCAAAAACTGACGGTGACCTGTTCGGCCAAGGTGGTCAACGCCTCCCAGGGAATGGCGGGAATAATGACGCTGGAGATAGACCACGAGGGCACGACCCTGGCCACTGTCTTCAAGAACAAGGTCAATAAACTGTCGGCCTTTGGCGGGGAGGCTAACGGTCATATCAGCGACACAGAGGGCAGCTTGAGTCTCATGTTCTCCCAGGTAGGGCTCAACAGCACGGGAGTCTACACGTGCACGGCTATAGGCTTCACCGCTCTCGGCACGACAGAGCAGGCATTGGCCACCGTCAACGTCACGACACACAACCCTAGCAACGTGACGTTCATCAACGAGCTGGTGGAGATTGAGTCGCAGCTGGCGGACGTGACGTTTAGCGTCAACGGTTTGGGTCGCCGGTGGCAACACGTGGACCACAACCCCCTGTTTGTGACGTCACCGGCCTACAACGGGAGCCTGTACCTGCTCTCCCGCGCGGACATGGGTCACGTGTACATGGCGCAGTTCATCTGCTTCGTCCAGGGCGGGTATCTGGCCGAGATCAACAGCGCAGCGGAGTTCAGGAACGTTCGCGCCTTTGTGAAGGGTCAGCTCAACCAGACGTCTGACGTTATCGTGTGGCTGGGGGCCAGTGACCAGAGGGTGGAGTCTAAATGGGAGCTGATGTACAACAGAGGGGGCGCCGTGTATCTGGAGTGGGGCGGGTTCCCATCCACGGGCTATGACTGTCTGGTGCTGTCTTCCACCACCGACTTCTTCATGAACGATCAGAGGTGTGGGGAGAACGGGAGGGTCTTGTGTGAGGTTCCCAGTGGGTCTGTCAGTGTGTACGCGGGGAGGGAGGGGTAGAGGGTGGCTCTGTCAGTGTGTACGGGGCGGAGAGGGGGGAGGGGTAGAGGGGGAGAGAGGGAGGAGGAAGAGGTAGAGGGGGAGGGAGGGTGTGGTATGAGGTTCCCAGTGACTCTGTCAGTGTGTACGGGGCGGAGAGGAGGGAGGAGCAGAGGTTGGCTCTGTCCGTGAGTACGG